ACTTCAATCTCAGATAAGGACCAAAACCGTAGCTTTTGTTATTTTTTTAATAAAAAAAGCCTGCAAAGCATAATAATAATGGTAATAGAAATGTGCTCTGCCTTTTATAAACTTCTGTTAAAGCATGATATATTCCTCGGGAGTGTTTATAACGTTTGTAGCAGTGTTTTGGTGTATGAGAACCAATGAAGTGTAAAAAATGAAGAGCATAAAGATGGAAAAGCAATGTTGATTTTTAAAACATTTCTGGTGTTAATGAGACCTGATCCAAAGCCCCTTCAAATCAATGGGAATCTTTTCATTGACTTAATTGGGCTTTGAAGCGGGCACCAAAAGGGTTAGCAGTAACACAGGTAATTAAATTTGGATTTTTAGAAATATGAATTTCAGCTTGAATAGGTCCCTGCAAGCTAAACATTTTAATAAAATTCACTTTGCTGTATGCAAATATCCTTAAGATGACCATGGGAAATGTAAAGATTGTTTTCATTCAAGCATAGGACATTTGTAAATACGTGTTTTTCATTCTTGTATACTTAAAAATTAATTATCCTTGTTCTCACAATACTGTAGCTCTAAGATATCTCTTCTCCCATCAGCGCGGGTAGATGTGTGCTCAAAAGACCAACCCAATTCCATAAATGGGGGTTAGCCTTTCAACTTGCTCACACATCAGTTGAGACAGACCTTTAAGAATATAAACATTTTCTGCAAAATGTTTTGCTCCCTGTTTAATATTTAAATCTTTAAAGATAAACTACTTGCAGTATGCTGTATCGAGTGGCTCTTGCAGCAATTTTAGTACATATGATAATTATGCATACAAAAACTGTATTAAAAACATTATGAAGTACAAAGTCAATCACTCAAAAGTTAGGAAATGCCAGAATTAAGGTTGCACGTGCACTCTTAGTTCAGCCCCCTTGTGTGTTTGCATTATCGTAGTCTTTAATTACATAATCACATACTGTTTTTTCCCCAAGACCCATGCCTCATTCTGGGCACAGAATGAATGGTGCTCACTTAACAAACGGCTGTTCTGTATTTTGTTTTCTCCTAGTTGCTCAGTGTTGTGGCCCCAGGCCTTACTTACTACACATTATTCATGTCTGCTCTGAAGACTGAATTTTTAATTTCTTCATGGGCTTTTCCACTGTGATTTTCACTATAGTATCTGAATGCTTCACAAACATTTAATGAATTTATTTTTAAATACCCCTGTGAGATGAGGCAGTGGTATTATCCCCATTGTACAGATAAGGAGCCAGGGCACAAAGAGATTAAGGTCAAAAGTGTTCACTAATTTTGGGTACCCAATTTGAAAAACCTAGGATCTGATTTTTTCAGTGTATTTAGCATTATATAGCACTTCATTGTTCAAAGCAAAATTCCCAGTTTCTCTCAGACGCAACTGATTTCAGTTGCATATGAGAGCGCAGCACTTCTGGAAATCAGCCCAGAGTCTCAAGTTGGGCAACCATCAGATAAGGAGCATGCAACTAGTGACCACCTGTGAAAAGTCTAATTGAAGTCACTTGCCTACCACCACACAGGAACTCAGTGGCAGAGGCAGGAATAGAATCCAGTTCTTCATGGCAGCATTCAACTGCCTTAACCAGGAGACTGTCCTTTCTCTTTCTGCAATCCCCTCCCTCCCTCACTACCCACCTTCCATCTTCTGCAACAAATGAAGCTGAGGTCCTCCAGACAACAGCCTTCACTAGACAGCCCTGATGATTCAGCCTCAGAGCAGGTCCATCATGTGCACTGAATGAGATAGTTGAAAAAACAGTATGTGATCATGTAATTGAAGACTGTTGTCATAATGCTAATGCACAAGGGTACATCCAGACTTGATCCCTTGTGCCCCATCCCCTCCAACTTGTCGTGCCCCAGGAGTGCCTCACTCCTGTCTCCCTGTCCCAGTCCCATTCTCCTCACCTAGCCAGTTCCTGTCTCCACTCCTTAGACTTCTCATCTCAGTCCCAATACTCTTGCCCAGACAATCTAGTACCCCCCCCACAGCTCCTCGTCCAGTCAGTCTCTTGTCCCTCTCTGCCCAAATTCCTTGTCCCTCCATTTTACAGAGGGAGAAACTGAAACACAGGATGATTAAGGACCAAATTCTAAAAGCATGCAAGGGACCAGGCTGTGCTCTGGAGTTCTTCACAGCCTCAATGAGGAAGGGTTAGGCCCCTAACCTCCTGCCATAGAGTGATGCTGTGCCACAAATACTGTGAAGTCTCAGAAGCACAACACTTTCTGTAGAGGTTCTATTCCCCCTACAGGAAAGAGAGTGGCTGGTGGATATGTCCTCACCCCCAATAATTTTTCCAACCCCCACCATGTGTTGGGGTGGAGGGAAGCCAACAGAACAGAACTCCGCAGTGTGCAGAGGGCCATTCTCCTTGCACAAGTCTTCTGGTCCTGCCCCACTGGGCCAGTTCTGCTAGGTCAGGGTCTTCTGTGTAGGAGGAGGTTGTCCTCTACATTATTTGCCTAGGGTCACACAGGAAGTTTGTGGCATTAGTAGGTGCAGAACCCAGAATTCCTGGGTCCTCATCCTATGCCTTAATCACAAGACCACTTTCTTTTCTTCATGGAAGGAAGCTATTCTTACACTTAAAGAGTGAAATAGAATTGTAAGCAGTCATTTTGTCTGGAACAGGGTTCATAAATTTTGACTGATTGAATGTGACATGTTGAACTTTTATTGTTACCAAGAGATTGAGCACTTTACAATAAATTCTAAGTGACAAAACTCTTTAGCTTTACAAACCTATTAAGAAAACAAAGTGCTTTTTGTAATAGCACATGAATGACTGAGCTGGAATTAAACTAAGATAGAAACACTGGCTTTTGCCGTTGTATAAAGGAGAACCACAGCATCTGTGGACTATTTACTGTAAATTAAAATATCAACAAAACCAATGATAATCAGATACAAAGGTGACTCCTCTATAGACACTAGATATTTGCGGGGGGAGGGAGCAGAGGAAAGGGAAGGGATACTGTAAATCTTCACCAAGGCCCCGAACCTCCAAACTCTAACATATGTTTAACTTTAATCCTATGAGTAGTCCCCTTGAGATCAATGAATAATTGAAATCAATGGGACTACTCATGGTAGGAAAGTTAAGCACACTGGAAATCTTTGCTGGATCAAGGCCTAAGCGAGTGAACACTGTAGGCTCTGTGCTGTTATGCTACGGCAATTCAGCATGTCACTTTGTAGGATTGGGCTCTGGGTGACATTTGCATTGCCAGTTACCAATGAAAGTTCAAGATACTCAGAATCTTGCAAGACAAGGGTCCCTTCTGCAAGACAGCAGAGACCTGATAAAACTCCCAGTGAAGTCAGAAGGGACTAGGTTGGGCTTTAGACAAGGCAAAATGCTGCTCATACATCATCGCATAAGACTTACGGACTCAAATCATGGATATGAACATTCCATTAACTTAGAAGGAACTGCATTGCTCAGCCTGTCTTCACTGTGCTTCCTTTTAGTATTATTGCTGGTTTTCCTACTTTTTTCCTACTGATGGAGCATTAGTGTTGATAGATATGCCTGGCTCCTTTTTGTACAGAATGAGTGTTTTTTTCTGCATATCTGATTTCAATTGAATTGTACTCTAAAATGAACCAAACCTTCATTAGTAAAATGTTTATGATGAAACTGTGGAACTGTTCTTTAACTAAGTTCTTCCCAAATTCATTTTAATTTCAATAGAATTATTTGGAATTGCCAGCTTTCTGGGCTTTCTCTTTCAAAAACCCAGTCTATGAAACAACATTGGAAGTAATACCTCCTCCCCTACCCTGCTCAGGGTTAAGAGTAAATGTCTCAAACTAACCCTAAGGGTGTGTCTACGCTGCAGGACTCTTTTGGCAGTGTGTAGTGTACATACATGCATAGCCCTCATAGTACAAGTATAAACAGCAGCATAGACAGTGAAACATGGTTTAAGCCAGTCAAGACACACCTGAAGGATGTGGGTATACACCCAGAGTATGTACCTAGACATCCTTTACTGGCCCAATTTAGCTGTGTAGTGTCCTGTTACCTCTCACTGCTGGTCCCCTTCTCCTTTGCAGGGAAAGACTCCATCAGTGGACCGGGCGGGGGCGGGGGAAGAGGGGAAAGGCTGCCAGATCCCAACAGCTGGAGTCTTTCTCCTATGCAGGGGAATACTCCAGCAACTCCCCACTGCTGGAGCCATTCCCCGCTACAAGGAAAGGCTCCAGCAGCTGTGAAAGGCTCTGCCAGCTCCCCCAATGCTCAAGCCCTTCCTCTGGAAGGGAGTAAGCAGCAGGGAAAGAAAGGCTCTGGAAGTGGGGAGATAGCAGGGAAAGGCTCTGGCAGCGGGGAAACAGCTGAAGCCTTTGCCTGCTGCCTCCCATCTGCCAGAGCCTTTCACTGCCCCGTGTAGCTACACACCACAGTGTGGATGCAGTGTGCTTTTGACTGCAGTATGTAGTTATACATATACTGCATGCCGCCAAAAGTGGTTTGTAGTGTAAACTGAGACTAAAATAAATATAAAGACCAGGGGAAGGGATTAGATCATGAAATAGTCACATATAAAATATAAGAAGAGAAAAACATTACAGAGTAATAGATCTCTTCCCCTATGGAAAAGTCCTACAGAATGTAATGGGGATTAAACTAATAGGGTTCTGTTGAAATTACTGTAAAAACCTATGCAATTTGATGGAGAATTATAGACTTCGACAATTTGATTTTCTATTGGTTGATTTCTGTTAAATCCTGTAGTAGAGGAAATGTCTGGTTTTGCATCTTAGAATGGAATGTATTCAGCTACTAAGTGTTCTTTAAAATCTGCACCAGTCCTTTTCCGCTTACTCACATGAGCGGTCCTGACAGGAATGAGGTCTGCGGGATCAGACCCTGTAGAAGTAATACATACTTCATTATATTAACATTACAGCACATTTTCACCCAACATTGAGTTAATTGTCTTTTCTTTTTTTCTCCCAGATTGTGGTTTAAATGTTCACAAGCAGTGTTCCAAGATGGTCCCAAATGACTGCAAGCCAGATCTGAAGCATGTCAAAAAAGTGTACAGCTGTGACCTTACAACGCTAGTAAAAGCACACATCACTAAAAGGCCAATGGTGGTAGACATGTGTATTAGAGAAATTGAATCTAGAGGTAAGACATCGTTAATGGACTTTGGTTGCTTTAATGATAATCCCTTTAGATTGATCTGGGTCATTTGGGTTTTCGCTGAATTCATGATTGCTCAAAACAGTTTCAAACGGGGCATTTTATGACTGCCAATTATCCTACACAGTTTATATCATACTTGGTGTTATTTGTTGGTTCACAAATATCTGTGATTTTTTTTAAAAGCTCTGCTGAAATTACTTAATTTCTTACAAGGACTTCTCTAATTAATACATAAGAGATGGACAGATGCAATGCGTGTTTTATGATGCACAGTATATAGTACTGTTTTGACATAACTACATGCTTGTTAAACTCCAGTCTTGGATGATCTCCTATCTTATTGATGTACATGTGCATCTTCCTCTTCTTTATATTTCCCATGGTATTTTAATCAGAAAGATTAACACAGTAATAACTAAACTAGTCGGTATTTACATATTTCATCTTCCTTGTTCTCCCAGCCCATATTTAATATTCTTTACTAGAATATATGGTTTGCTTCTATAATATTTACTGTACATCTAATATGTTAATCTCAATTAGCTGATTAAAAAGAATTAGCTTGTAATTGGGCTAATCTGTTTTTTCACCCCCGGGAATCATTATCATAAACATGATTACACAAAATGATTGGGAGCTGAGCCGAACAATGCGGTTGATGTAAGGGTCAGGGTTAAAGGGATGGGGTGAATTGTATTCCAAATGAAAAACCCGGTAAAGCTTTTAAAACCTAACTAACCTTGTTGCCTCATTGCCTTAAGTGAAGAACCTGGCCAGGGACAAGCCAGTTTTAAGGGAGATGCAAAGTTAATACTAATTTTAATCAAGTGAAAATGTTCTCTCCTAACAGGTCTTAATTCTGAAGGACTATACAGAGTTTCAGGCTTTAGTGACCTAATTGAAGACGTCAAAATGGCATTTGACAGAGGTATCTGCTTTAGTATCTGCTGCAACTTTTTTGCCGGCACATTGTGAAGGGTTCTGTTCAGTCCAGGGGTTCCTCAGCGTAGGCTCCATCTGCCTGTTGGGCTCTGCAGATGCAGAGGCTGGTCGTTATGCTGGGGGGAGGGGTATCCTCCCCTTGGAAAGACACACAAATCCCATTTTGGCCTGTGTTGCCAAAAGCTGCCCTTTTCCCTTCAGCAGAGTTTGTGTCTCCACAGTGCCTGACTATGACAGTTAGGCTCTTTGCAATGATGTCATTGGGTAGGAAAGTATTGAACGTTCTCAGTTATTGCCCTGATTTACTAGGGAACCCCCAAGCTCCTCTCTCAGTGGGACCATGAGTCAGCTGGAGAAGAACCTTAAAGGAGCAGTGCAACTTGAAGCCCTCTCCCTGGATGATAGCTCCAAAATAATAAAGAACCCCTGGGCTAAACATCCTTCCTCTTCCACCAAAGGCAATTGAGAGAAGTAAGGAGTTCCCACCCGCAGTACCCCACAGTAGCAATCGGGGGCGGGAAGGTGCTCCCTCCCCATATGTTTTTTTTTTTTACTGAGCCAAAAATTCCATCCCTTTTTGCCTCTCCAGGCTACTGGGGCTACACAAAGAGAGCTCAAGTAATACCTGCCTTCTATGTGGTCCTAGCTGGGCTTGAGGTGCTGAACAAATTCAGGCCCTTACCCAGTGCCCACTGAACTCAAGAATAAATAGCACTGCTGCTCTGAGAGGGTGAGCACATGCCTGTCCTAGCGACTGAGTACTAAAAACATTTTCCTTTTTGCAAACGTTCCTCATTTCCCATTCAGTGCTGACAAATGTGTTTTTGGCAAAGTGATATGTTCAAATATAGTTGATCTGCAACACATTTTTACAACAAAGACAGTCACCATTAAAACAGTCACACGGGTTTGTGCATAACATTTTTTTGTTAACCTGAGATTGAAAAAAGGACTGGTCTCTGTACAAAAGGCATTAGGCTTTATCCTGAAAAAGTGAAATTCACAGTCAAATAACAGTTTTTATTGGTTAGTTTACATACTCCAGAAGCTGTGGCTGTGCTGATCTTAATAATTGCTAAACAGTATAGATTTTTCCATTGAATATTAATCTAGATCTATTTATATTTTTAAAACATTAATGTCAGCTGCTTTCTGTACACAGATGGGGAAAAAGCAGATATTTCTGTGAATATGTATGAAGATATCAATATTATCACTGGTGCACTTAAATTGTACTTCAGGGATTTGCCAATTCCGCTTATCACATACGATGCCTACCCAAAATTTATAGATTCTGCAAGTAAGTATAAAATAACATTTTTCCTGTTTTTCTTTCTGCCCCTTTTTCTCTCTGTTTTGTTTTTTAACATGTGTTATTAATTAAGTACTACTTAAGCGCTTCACATGGGTGCTATAAATTGAGATGAAAGCAGGACTAAGTATGTGCCATAGATTATAAAAATGTTGTATTAAGCGATCTTTGTTTCAGTTTCTCCTAGGGTGACCAGATGACAGGAAGAAAATATCGGGACACAAGGGGGGGGGGGAGGGGGGGGGTCACTGGCAGAGCAAAAAAAACCAAAAACCGAGTGCTGGTGTAAGGACACAAACAGCTCCCTCTCCCAATTCCCTACTGTGACCCAGTGCTGCTGGCAGTCGGGGGC